GCACGTTTACTACGCCTAGATTTCTCTTCCTCATTTTGATCTAACTCTTGTTCTTGATCATGTTCTTGATCCTGACTAGTAATAACATCATGAGATCTCTTATTGTTACTAGTCTCTTGTCTAGTCTTATTTGGAAATAAATGTTCAAAGAATGATGCATTCCGAGACTCAATAATAGTATTTACATGCATTTCGGTATGTTCTGATTTATGAATCAAAAATCGATATGCATTACTATTCTTAGCATAACTAATGAAAATGCAATCAATGGTCTTAGGACCTATCTTAGTCTTTTTAGGACTAGGAATAGCCACTTTAGCCAAACATCCCTGCACTTTTAAGTATTTGTAGAATGGTACTCTTCCATGCCACAATTCGTAAGGTGTTTGATTCACTTTCTTTCGGGATACTTTATTAAGTATATAATTAGAAGAAAGTATTGTTTCCCCCCACAAGTTCTGAGGTAATCCAGAACTTATTAGCATGGCATTCATCATTTCTTTTAAATTCCTATTTTTCCTTTCAGCAATTCCATTTTGCTGAGGTGAGTAAGGAGCGGTGGTTTGATGAATTATTCTATGTTCTTTACAAAATTTACCAAAAGGTGATTCATATTCACCACCTCTATCACTTCTAAGTTTCTTGATTTTCTTACCAAGTTAATTTTCAACTTCATTCTTAAATTGAATGAAAGTTTCCAAAACTTCATCCTTAGTTCGAATTAAATAAACATAACTATATCTAGTATAGTCATCTATAAAAGTGATAAAATATTTTTTCTCACCTCTAGTTTGAATTGATTTAAAATCACAAATGTCACTATGAATTAATTCAAGTGGTTCCGTACTTCTTTCAATTGAATAAAAATGAGTTTTAGATAATTTTGCCTCAACACAAATTTCACATTTATGATTTGAATCAATGTCAAATTTAGGTAAATATTCCATATTAATTAATCTACACAAAGATCCATAATTAACATGTCCTAGTCTACCATGCCATAAATTTGAAGACTCAAGCAAGTAAGAAGAAGATGTATATTATTAATAATTGAGGGTACAACGGTCATTACATTTAACTTGAAAAGGCCATCAGACGTGTAACATTTTCCTACATACATCCCATTCTTTGTAAGTACAAATTTATCACTCTCAATTACTAGTCTAAACCCATTCTTACTCAACAAAGATCCGGAAACAAGAGTCTTGCGAATGTCCAATACATGCAGCACATTGTTGAGAGTGAGTTCCTTTCCAAATGTCATCTTGAATACAATCTTTCCTTGTCCTTCAATTTTGAAAGTTGAGGAGTTGCCCATAAAAAGTTGTTCACCATTGTCCGCTGAAGAATAAGATGTGAACATCTTTTTGTCGGCACAAATATGACGAGTAGCACCAGTGTCCACCCACCATTCTGTAGGATTTCCGACAAGATTTGCCTCGGAAACAACTACAGAAAGATTTATGACATCTACACCATTGAAAATTTTATCCATTTTGGTCATTTTGGCTTTAGCAACCTTCTTACTTGATCTTCTTTTGCCTTTGCAAAAATCAGTTCTTAATAACTTCTTTGGTTGTTTACCAAGATTCACTGGCACAATCCCAACATAAGGAGAGGTTGGCGTAATGGCAATCACCATACCAGTACTGGTTTGAACATTAGTTTGACCAGTTTTAGTAGCCATAAATTCTAAATTATAAAATAAAATTATAATTAGAATTTTATATTACACAGAAAATTTAAAACCAAAAACCACAGAATTTTAAATTCTGTAAAAATAAAAGAAATAAGAATTGTAACTTTTATTTTCAATTAATTTGAAAATAAAATAAAATTTTATTTAAACAAATTAAACCAAAACTACAGAAATAAATTCTGTAAAATAAAAGAAATAAGAAAATAACTTTTATTTTTCAATTAATTTGGAAATAATATAAAATTTTATTCAACCAAATTAATTCCACATAGGAAATTAAATTCTGTAAAAAATAAAAGAAATAAGAAAATAAATTTTATTTTTCAATTAATTTGAAAATAAAATAAAATTATATTTAACCAAATTAATTCCACACAGAAATTAATTTCTGTAACACTTCAATAATTAAAAAACTAAAATAGAATTTTAAGTAATGAAAACTCAGAAAATAATTTCTAAAACCCAAAATTAATTTCTGAAAAAATTCCACAAAAATATATTCTGAATTGTTAATGACACCAGTATCGTACTACTAGTTATCAAAGAAAATAGACAGTACATTACTACTATCTGTCAAATAGCATATAATCACTATTTATTTTTTCAACCAGAATATTATTTTGAAAATCCACAGAAAATAATTTTCTTAAAAGAAGAAAGAGAAAAGGAAACAAACGAAAAATTCTGTAAACAGAATAATTCGAATCTGTCTTAAGAATGTTGGAACAATCTTCTGTGTAAATAAAATAAATTGAAATAAATCAAACAAAATAAATAAATAACGTACCGAATTTATTTATCGAACCGAATTAAAAATTAAAGACCAAGTCGAGTGTGTGACACTCTATCCTTAAGACAGATTCGCCCCGCTACGGTGCTTACGGTTGAGTGGCGTCTATCTCCCAAGATACCATGATCTTCACAAACTTGTAGTAGCACTCCACAGAAATTTGTACGGCGAACTAGAACCTTGTGTTCTTATACTCTCTTAAATATTTATTCTAAATCTAATATGAAGAATAAAACAAATGCAAATAGATATAATCTGGACAGCAAGGAAAAGGGACTTTACAGACTGATTTTGGGATCATTTCGTAGTCCACCACCTGCTGGAATAGGATATCAATTTATAGACAATTTAGTGACTGTTGGCACAGCCCGAACAGGTACAAAAAGAGGTCAACAGGTGCCAAATTCAAATGGACAGATCTGTTGCAGTTTTATTAATTGTTTGGCAGTTTTAAAACTGTCTAAAAATGCTTAATAGTTATCCAATCTGTCTAGAACCATTTGAACCTGTTAAACTTTGTTTCGGATCTGTCCAAATCTATCGGGCAAATTTAAATCTGTTTGAAAACAGAATCTGTCCGAAAATTTGAAGAAAACTGTTTGGGACAATTTTGAATCTGTTGGACGGTTTAAAACCTGTTTAACAGTTTGGGAAAAATGGAACTTGGAGAAACAATTATTGGACAAAATTTGAATTCAAATTCAAATTATAAAAGTGCAAAATTTAAATTAATTTTCTTGCAAAAAAATCAAATAACTTTTGTCAAAAAATTAATATTTAGAGCCGACCCACAACCCACACCCGCACCTTGCTCGGACGGCGGCAGCGACGCGCGGGTGTGGTGGTTTGGGCTAAGGTTCACTTTGTCCATAATTCCTCCCTTCTACAAACTTAGAGTGCCCCTTGAGGCCCAATCCAAGTGTTGTAGGTTAGAGTTTATAAACTCAACAAAAATCTTTTAAAGTTTCAATGTGGGACAACCATTCCCAAAGAAACCCACATTTACTTCCTTAAATTTCCTATTCCACGAACTCGAAAACGACGCCATGTTCTCATTCACTCATAAATGGTTTTGACGAATCGTCTTCATCGTGTGACTTGCCACGCGGCAAGGAACACTTTACCTCTTCGAACCCGTCCCAAAAAACGTTCGGGACCCACTCAATTTTAAACTCAAAATGGGCAAAAAATAAACCTATATAAACTATTTTTCCAACACGTGGTCTCTCCCTTGCCTTTGTATCCCTGATTATCACGCATCTTTATCTGCTAGACATGGCTAGAGAGTGCAGGACAGAAGAGTGCTATAGTGGAGGAAAATCCAGAATTTGGAAGAGAGATTAATTTTTTGACGGCAAGAATTTGGGAGATTAGACATGAAACGGTTGTACTCTTAACAAATTATTAAGTTGACTAGGCACTTGTTTTTGTCTCTTTGTTCTTGAGCTCCTACTGCATTGTTTTTTTCTCTTCTTCCTCACCTCCTACTTCATTTATAGTTTATTCCCCCTCATTTCCATCCATAGTACTCATTCAAATTTGTATACTATAATATAAAAACTAAAATATTCAAGAGTTGTTGATAGGTTTACGTCAATCCTTCTCATCCCAATTCATCCTCCATGTTTGATCACCAATATTTTAAAAAGTTTAAACAGATAGGGAATTTACTCAATAATGTGTTTGTTTGGTACAAGTTTTTATTTTTTATTTTTTATTTTTTTATTTTTGAAAATGGTAATATAAAAAAGCTAAAACTAAAAATACTTTTTATAAATTCTTAATAATCTTTTTTTTTTCATTGCATAAGTTATAAGTAGAAATTATATTAAACACTCTTACACAAATTGTCAAATTTAAAAAAAAAAAAATCATAAACAATTTAAAAAAACTACACCGAACATGGTCAATATATATTAAGGGTTATTTTGGAAAATGACTGTTTAATTGATTTTTTAATTTTTTACAAAAAGATGTACAGATAATGGAGAGAATAATTGACTATCTGATAGCGATTTTTTTATTAAAATAGTCTATTGCTAAAACACCCCTAAATTAACATTCCCCTTCATGTATGATCATGTCTTGGACGTGGAAAAAAAGCAGACCAAATAACAACATAAGGTGGTCTACCACATAGAGAGATAAATAAATCGAAGAATAAAATGAGCAGAAATTTGAAGACAAACAAAATAAAGTGTACAATAATAGAAATAACAAGATGATGAGATTCAAACTCATAATTTTTTCAAATCAAAACTCTCATACCATATTGTTAGGTTATTACCAAACCTCATTTAAAATCTATGTCAAATTTAAATTTAAATAAAAATTACTCAAAAATTTCTCTACTCATTCATTTATGTAAACCTAGGTCAAATTGAGTTTTATCAATTTTTTTTTACTCAAATCAAAAGAAACTCAAAGTTTTCCAATTCATTTTGTAACTCCAAATGTACAACTCTACCATTACTCAAATTTTTATTTAAATATGAATTCATCCATTAAATAAAATTTTTGTTCAAAATTTTACTCTAAAACCTCCCTCTCTCTCTCTATCATCATTGAACCTGCCTGCTGTCTTCTTCCTCCATTTCTTTACCCCAAGCAAATTCTCCAATCCCACACAATCCGATTCTCCTGTAATCTTCACTCATCATCTCCTTCTTTTCTGGGTCTCTCTCTCTCTCTCTCTCACACACACATGGGACATGACGAAACCAGAAAACTCTCCGACGAATACGAAGTGTCCAACATCTTGGGCAGAGGTGGATTCTCAGTAGTCCGAAGAGGCACTAGAAAAAAACCAACCACCACAGCCGGCGCCGGAGACAAAACCCAAACCCATGTCGCCATCAAGACCCTCCGCCGCCTCGGCCCCTCCTCCGCCGGCGCCGGAATCCAGAAAAGTAGTATGATATCTCCGGCGATGGGTTTGGGTTTGGGTTTTCCGACGTGGAAACAAGTCTCTGTCTCGGATGCGTTGCTGACGAATGAAATTGTGGTGATGAGGAAGATCGTGGAAGACGTGTCGCCTCACAAGAACGTGATCCATCTCTACGACGTTTGCGAGGATCAGAGCGGCGTTCACCTCATTCTCGAGCTCTGCTCCGGCGGCGAGCTCTTCGACCGTATCGTCGCTCAGGCTAGTATAATCATACAAATTAACAAAAATAAAATAAATAAATAAATAACAAAAATAAATTAGTTTCTCCTGTTGTTGGAAAATTAAAAAAAATAAAAAAGAGTTCAGCAAGTTAATCATATTTATATTGAGAAATATATTGTTTGGAATTTTAATATCAATTTTATTATAAATACTTTTAATATGTCCCCTAATTTTTGGATGGTCAAATTACTTAGCTAGTCTCTATACTTTTTGTGTCGTTTTAATTCTTATAACAAAAATTTTATTTACAAACACATTATAAATATATTTAGATATAAAATTTTGAATACATATTAAATGTTTGGATTTAAAGTTATGAATAAAAATAAATTGTTCAAATATATAACCCATCCAAACAATTACTTTATGTTCATAAATTCATATCCGAACATTTGATATTTGTTCGGAAATTTATATCCGAACACATTTGTGGTGTGTACTGAGAATTTGTATGGTGTGCAAATAAAATTACCCTTCTTAGAATTTTAATGCATTTGATTTTGACTTTAAATTTTTAATTTTGTCTCATTTTAGACCAATTAATTACAATGGTTATCATTTTTTATGAAAAAATGCTTATATAAATGATGTGTCATATTTTTATAAGTAAAATTATAAACTTAATCAATTCTATGAATTAAGTTCAACCAAGATAATTTTTTAATTGAATCAAATTGACACAAAATTTAAAATTGAAGATCAAAATTGAGTTAATTAAAAGTATAGGGACTAAAATAACACAATACTATTAATGTAATTCACCATTTTTAGATGTATTTTGTTACACTTCCTATCTTTTATAACTTACAAAGATACAAGAAAATAATTTTTCACTTGGAAAGTGATTTTCAAACAGATTTTTGTAACTAAAACACATCCAAATTGATACGGTAGTGGCATATTTGTAATTATAAACAGTAATGGTAGATATTTTGACTAGAAATCAAACGATCGCACAAGGCCATGTTATATTGTACAAATTTTTATATAGAAATTCTGTTGGTATAACATTTCCTTTTTATTTTTAGGGAGACTTATTTATAAGTCTTTTTTTAGATACTTATGGTAGGTTAAGGCCTCGTTTGGGAAGGCTCTGTTTTAGCCAAAAAGTCAAAAAGTTACTAAATTAGCCAATTAGCCAATTAGTCATACCAAAAAGTACGCCTACATAAACGTAACGTGACACCTACATAAACGTAACGTAACGTGTCACGTTACGTTTCGCAAACTTAATGAGTTTTTATTTTTTTAAATTGAATGTGAAAATGTTGCTGGTTTATGTTGGTATCACGTTACGTTTCATATAAATATGATCTATGGTAGCATTCAATTTCTATATAAGAAATTGAATGTTGTCATAAATCATAGGTGTCACGTTACGTTTATGAAAGCATCACGTTACGTTACGTTTATGTAGATATGATATATGACAACATTCAATTTCGTATTTCTTATATAAGAAATTAAATGTTGTCATAGATCATAGGTGTCACGTTACGTTTATGTAGGTGTCAATTTCCTATATATAGTTTTACTACTATTTATGATATTAACAACTTATATTGAGGGTAAATGTGTCAACAAACTTTTCACAGAACTTATAGAAATATAAGTTTTTAGTACGACCATATGTAACATAACTCTCCCTAACATGACTTATAAATAATTTTCCCTTATTTTGGGAATGCAAGTAAAAATTGATATTGTAGTTTTTTTTTTTTTTTTTTTTTAAAAAAAAATTGTTAGTATATATGTTCGGGCCTTTACGTTAGAATGTTGGGTGGCGCAGAAGAAGTACACGGAGGTGGGAGCGGCGGCGGTGGTGGCACAGATAGCAAATGGGTTGGCGGCGCTTCACAAGGCGGGAATAGTGCACAGAGATTTGAAGCCAGAGAACTGTTTGTTTTTGAATGAGAGAGAGGATTCGCCGTTGAAGGTAATGGATTTTGGGCTGAGCTCGGTGGAGGACTTCACAGACCCAGTGGTGGGATTGTTTGGTTCCATTGATTATGTGTCCCCAGAGGCTCTTTCTCTGCAGGGTGGTGGTGGTTCTGTCTCTACTAAATCTGATATGTGGTCCTTGGGTGTCATCTCGTACATCCTCCTCTCTGGGTATGTTTGTTTCTTATTAACTTTGTTGTTACCAAACACTAAAGATTTTCACTGAATTTGGACACTGAGATAAATGACGGGTCTCGCATATATATAGGCCTATTATGGATGGAACTCACCATTTATTTCACTCACATTTGTATCACATTATCTGAAAATCTGCGCACTTAACCTTTACTTCTTTAATTGTTTGCTTTTTTTACCTATTTAATTTTCAAAGACGCAAATCACGTAACTAAGTACAAAATAGATATATCAATCTCATCAACAAATTCAATAAAATCTTATTCATTTATATGTTTTGTTTTTGTGTTTGTAATAAAACTCTTAATTTCCAACCGAATAGCTTAATTATTTACATAAACAAAACACAAACACCAATAAAGATTGGACTTCACAATAAGACTCACACATTGCAACTACTTCAAACCGGACACAGAACAGTCAAAGAATGCGTTCTATAGTTACTCTTTTGAAATCAGACACAGAACACTCAAAAAAGTGAGTTCTATTGTTGAAATCACACAGTTGGACCCAGTAACTGCTTAGTATGTGAATCTATGACTATTTTTAGTGCATGTAATTTTATCGCCACATGCAATTTATGCTTCATTTTGATAAGATAAATTTTAGAAAGTCACGATTTAAAATCTATAATTACATGCAGGGAAATTATGTTTGGTATAATTAAGTTTGTAACAAATTAAAAATTAATATATAAATTGATATATCATTGTTGTTAAAACTTTTTAAAGATCCCATACTTTTTTCCATTTTGATAACTAAGGCTCTTTTTGTTTTCAACACAACAATTTATGGGTAAGATTCCAAATTTGTTAATTCATGTGTTCGTTTCCCCTTTTGAAATTTTTAGAATTTTCATTTCATTGAAGGTTGATTCAAGAATTTTCACTGCCTACATTGTTGTTATGGGAATGAGAGTCTTAGAAAATAAAGGAAATGAGAAAAAAAGATACGGCAAATTATATTTTTCCCCTTTTATGTTTGGCCATTTTCTCATTTTGGTTCTTAAAGTTTTTTTTTATTTTTTTATTTTATTTTTATTTTGGCTCTTCATATTTTATTTTTTTCTCAATTTACTCCAAAAATTACCTTACCAAACCAAACCAAAACCAAACCTTAAGTCCCATCAAATGGGGTCGGCTAACTCCAAAAATTACCTTAGATCCAAAATTAGACAAAAAATTACACATTCATAGTCATGTGGCATAAATAACTCACTCCTAACACAAATTCAAACCCCAATATAATAGTATATTTTTTGTGTTATGTGACAGTTCACGTAGCATTTTTAGCATTTTCAGTCTAATTTTGAACCGAAGTTAACTTTAGGAATAAATTGAAAAAAAATTTAAATATGAAGGGTTAAAGTGAAAAAATAAAAAATAAAAAAAATAACTTCAAAAACTAAAATGAAAAAAAGACCAAACATAACGAGGACAAAGTATGATTTCCCGAAAAGACATGCATACATTCATACTATAACTATACATATATATATATATATTAAGAGAGAATTGGTCAAGAAATTAGGGGAGAGGGAACTTGTCTGAATGATTGAATAAGCCTGATTAACAGAAATACTGAATGAACAAATGGAATATATAAATTCATCCATAATAAAATACAATTGGTAATGGTGTCAACACAGATGTATTCATATATATATATATACACACATTAGTGGGTTGTGAATGACATGCGCGAAATAAGTAAGAATATAAATAAATAATAAATAAATTAGTATCATAATATATAAGTTGCTTAAATAATAAATGTGTTCTTAATGAAATCCAAAATCTTGAACTCAAACCTTACTTGCGTTGTAGTATAATAATTTTTTATTTTAACATATAAAAATCTGTCATGTGACAAGAGGAGAATGTTTGGGGGAATATGCTTCCCAATATGTTATAAATGAGTCGAGCAATAGGTTTTTGAAGTTTAGTTTGAAAATTTATTTATTTTTATGTGTTAAAGTATGATTTATTTGTCTTTCGATTCGATCTCAAATAATCTTTAATCAAATCGATCATAAGTCAAGTTTAAGTATTTTAATTTTTTTTATACAATTTATAATGCATATAAATTTATCGACCCGAACTCAAAAAGTTTTCAAACTAACACAATATATACAAGTTTGATTTGTTTACAACAGAAAATTTGTCCAGACTTTCACCACCCCCTATTCCACACCAAATAATTGTGAGACTCCATGTAAGGTTTCTTTACACTCAATGAGCCTTCTTGAGCCAGTGGTCTTATATCCCAATGGCATTTTCTCAACACTCTCATGTGAAAGGTTGGGTATTCAAATCTCGCCTTTGGCAAGTTTGGGTAGAAGTGCTCAAGTAGCTCATATCTATACCATCTGCCACTCATTTTGAGGTCACTCGCTCCTGTTGCTAAGCAGCTCCACCTCCTCCATCCCTTTTGGAGTAGACTATATATGTACTGTATTTTGAATTTTAAAAATAAATAATAAAATCAGCCTTCCTGCTGCCCTACCCAACAAATGTTAATGATAATTCAGGTGTTAGATGTTTCATGCCATTGTATACCATACTCGCCAGTCTAAGAATTTCAAATTCAAGTCCTAGTGAGTTTTGTTGAGCTCAGTTCAATGATATTTTTTAATATAGATAAAAGAATATCTGGTTATGCATAAAAATGCCATAATTCAATCCAAACAATTGTTCTCATTTAATTTAAGTAGAATTTGTAAATTTCTAATGGGATTTTTTATTTTTGTAACATTAAATATTTCAGGTATCCACCTTTCATCGCCCAGTCAAATAAGCAGAAACAACAAATGATAATGGCTGTATGTCAAACAAACCTGTTTGCTTCTTGTCCACCTAACGTATAATTTATAATCGTGTGTATATGATTTTTTTCTTATTAATTACACAATTAATTCCAACAAATTTGTGCAGGGAGAATTCAGCTTTTATGAGAAGACATGGAAGAACATTTCTTCATCTGCAAAGCAATTGATTTCCAGTCTCCTCAATGTTGATCCTCACAGAAGGCCTAGTGCTCAAGAGGTATCTATCTATTACAGGCTGCATTATCAAAATTGGGTTTTGAAATAAATCAACTTCTCGCTATTTCTTTTTGACTTCCCCCATTGTATCTCTCATCATCTTTAGTGATTAAAATAAGTGATTAAAAGCAAGAGAAATTGATTTTTTTTTTTTGGTTCTTTCTTCTCTTCAAGTCATTCAATCTAAATGGGTTATATATAAATCTATTTCCTTTTCTTTGATGTTTTTGTTTTTCTTTTTGGTGGGTGGTTGTTGTGAAAAAGATTCTGCATCATCCATGGGTAATTGGAGAATCAGCAAAGCAAGAGCAAATGGACGCAGAAATTGTTACTCGCCTCCAAAGATTTAATGCCCGACGCAAGCTACGTGCTGCTGCCATAGCCAGCGTTTGGAGTAGCAGCATCTTCTTGAGAACAAAGAAGCTCAAAAATATAGTTGGCACTTATGACCTTAAGTCTGAGGAGCTAGAGAATCTCAGTGTCCATTTCAAGAAATTGTAAGTACATCTACATATCTAGCAAAATGCTAATGATGCAAAAAAATTATTCAGTGTCACATAGTGTATGTATCACGTCCAGGGGCAGGGCTATGTGTAATTCAGTGGTGTGAACTTTCAAATTTTGTTTAAATATATATGAAATTTTGTTTAATAGTTTTGAATTTTAACAAAATGACCCCAATGTTTGGAGCTATTTATTGTTTAGTGGTGTCAATTTTAATAAAATGACTCTAGTGAATCTAGATTAATATCACATACATCACATATATTTTGAGCTATTCATTGTTTAGTGGTGTCAATTTTAGCTCAGTGTTCGTTCATTCATTTGTTCCATCAATGCTTTATTCTCTAACAATCATTGTTGCATTGCCATTGATGCATTCCTTCATTTGTTCTCTCTCTCTCCCTCTGAATGACCCCACTGAGGGGAATTCCTGGCTATGCCCCTGATTACATCATTCGTTCATTGGTGTGGATCTGAAATCAATATGTGGGGTTTATACTATGGATACTATGTGACGATGACATCACAGTATCACCAATAAGGGTTGGCATGCCTCGTTTGGGAACATATTATTTTAGTAATTTTTTGATTTTTTAACTAAAATACGATGTAAAAAAAATTATGTTTGCAATGACTTTTTGATTTTTTACGAAAAGATGTGCAAAAAGTAGAGAAAAAAAGAAAATCTTTAACTTTTTAGTATAGGGTATAGGCTTTTTGATTTTTTTAATAACTTTTTGATTTTGAGACTAAAACACTCGCATGTCAAACGAAGCCTAAGTTAGCTTTGCTAAATTGGTGTACAAGGCTCATGGTAAAAAACCTTGGCCCAAGCTGTACCCAACATGCTAGCAAATTGGCCATGGCTGAGATTCGAGCCTATTTCTTTGGACATTTTTTTGTTTTAACTTTTGCATTATTATTTTTTTTTTAAATCCAGAAAAAGCAGCTCCTTTTATTTTGAACTCGTGATTGATTTACATTTAGGGTTCGAGGAAATCATTTATTCTAGCAGTAATTTGAAGGACTGTATATATGGATGTTATTATGAATTACTAATGAAATTCGCAGATGTGCAAAAGGTGACAATGCAACACTGTCTGAATTTGAGGAGGTGCTGAAAGCAATGAGCTTGTCTTCACTAGTCCCTTTGGCACCTCGCATCTTTGATCTGTTTGACAACAACCGCGATGGCACTGTCGACATGAGAGAAATCGTCTGTGGGTTTTCTAGCCTCAAGCATTCTCAAGGCGACGATGCCCTCCGTCTTTGCTTTCAGGTTCTTGCTCACTACTGCACTCGTAAAATAAATTTTCTGAGGGTAAACTACAATTTTTTGAGAGCTTCTATGTGTACACCACACTAATTATAGTAACTTTTTATTTTTTTTTAATTTCGATCCATCAGATGTATGATACAGACCGGTCTGGAGGCATCAGTAAGGAAGAAGTAGCATCCATGCTCAGAGTAAATGCCTGCCCTCTCCATTCATTAATCTCTCTCCCAAAATTAAGCTCCAATAAATCATTAATTTTCATTTGCTTAGGGTTTTTTTAAGACTGACTTGTCTCCGGTTCAACATATTTTGAGGGCGAATTTATACGGACTCAATGGTAGGCATATGAGTGGATGGACAAATTTAGAAGTCTAGTTTCTTTGTGATTCAAATCCATCATGTCATCTCTGCTTAGGGGTGCAATTTGAGCAGACTCAACCCGAACAATCCAAACTCAAGCCGAATTTTTTTAGGGCTTGGACAAGATATTTTTAAATTTGGTACGGGTTTGGGCAAAAATTCATAAACTCGAATTAAATTTGGACGGACCTGAGTAAAGACGCCAAACAACCCGAGCGATCCGAAATCCAAATTATACATATATAGATATATAAAAATATTAAATATACATATAAATTATTAGTCATTACATGATATTAAAGTAATTTAGATTATTAAATCATATTGAATATATATTATATATACAAATAACATAAAATCTTACTTTTTTTATTTTCACTTATAAATTGTAAAGACTACTATAGTGACATCTCTCTTATATAATATAAATTATTTGTTTTGATGGTATTAATGATTTTCTATATTTAAAAAAAATGTAAATAGAGTCAAATTTTAATAATTTAATAATGCAATTGCAAAAAAAAAAAAAAAAAAAATTATTTACAATTCGGGCAACTCAGGCAATTCGGGTTTAACTCAAGTCGAGCTTGAGTAGGCAACCTCGGGTTATAATTCGGGTTTGGGCAAGTCTTAGCATAACTTGGGTTGGGCTTGGACAATCTCCCAGTCCAACTGAACCTGCCTGAGTTGCATGCCTATCTCTAGTCCTAACCAATCGTGGTTGGCAAAATTAACAAAAGCGGACCTAAGCTTTTACTTTGTAGGGAAGGTGGAATAAAAGTGACTAAAGATCAAAAAAAATATATGGATAAATTATCAATAGCTCTTAATAGTTGGATTTAATTCTTATAAAGTCCTATTGAAAATAAATTCTAATAAAATTGTCATTAAAAATAACTTTTTGTGACAATTTTTTACATATAAAAATTGATAATTAGTAATTTTTTTAATCACAGTTTTTATAAATTGTCGCTAAAACTTACAATTAGTGACGTTTTTCTGTAACGGATTTTTCAAATTGTTGTTGAAAGTTGAAAATTAGTGACATTTTTTTTGTGACGATTTTTGTAATTGTCGCTAAAACTTATAATTAGTGACATTTTTTGTAACAAAATGTTTAAACTGCCGTTGAAAATTAACAATTAGTGATGTTTTTAATAATATTTGATAAAAAATGCCATTAATTAAAGGACCAATTAGACAATAAGTCCACCTATTAGGACTTACACGTAAATCTCCCAAAAAATAATGTGATGATTGTTGAATATAAAAATCAAAATATTATGTTTAAAAATGGAAATTAGAGTAGGAATTAGAATAGGAATATTTTGATAGTAAGAATCTTACCTTGTGTATATTGTTTCTTAAATTGTATCATGAATATATCATATATACATGGCCTCTATCTTATTGATTGGTAAGCCAAATAACTCTTTCCATTCTTTTTGGTATCAGAACCTTCCTAGCCGTCTCCCTCTCAACCACCCATCACCACCGACTACCCTCTTTCTTCTCTCTAGCCTCCGACAGCCCTTTCCAGCTCTTGTTCTCCCTCCGACAGCCTCAGCCCAGCCTTCGACAGCCCTTTCCAACTCCTTTTCTCCTTCTAACAATCTCAACCCAGCCTCTATAGCTTTTTTCCTTTCTTGTCTTCACCTCGACAGGCCTTCTTTATCCCTGCCGAGGCTCTAACTGTTGCTGACCAAGCTTGGTTTTGGTCTTACGTGCTTCGGTTGCCTTTTTGGGTGGTTCGTGGCTATTTTTTTGTTTTCCCTTCTTGGGATGATTGGACTGATATATTAAGCCCTTTTGTCTATCTTTTTATTCTTTTAAGCTACCAGGTTTATTCAGTAGCATTTATTTAGATAAGCCGTTGAGTTTTTTTCGTCTTCTTATTTTTTCTTGGACTGTGTTGCTATCTTTGTGTGTTTTTCAACCCCTCTTCTCCTACTATGACTGATCCATCCTTTGCTGATATACCCACCAATCTTGTCCCAAGTAGTTATGATTTTTCTCTTTCTCATCACACTCTTGTTCTTCGTATTACGAGTGTGGTATTAAGTGTAAAAAAATTTGTCGCTTGGAACTCTATTAGGGAGCAAAGGAAAAACTCATTGGCTTTTATCTTCCCCTACCCAACCTGCTGCAACAAATCTTACCCATGCATAGTGGAATATTGAGAATTGTACTATTTTGGGATAGATGATCAACTTCATGAAAGATCGTATTTATCACATGTTTCTCTATTGCGACACAGTTCCTAGTCTATGGCATACCTTGTCATAGATGTATGCTCATGCTTATAACGATGCTTGCATCTTTGAGCCCTATCAAGATATTGCTCGTGCTTCCTAGTCTGCATTGGGTCTTTTTGTGTCAGAATTCTTTGGATACTTTCAAACCCGTTGGGAAGAATTGGCTCAATATGAGCCCTTAATTGAGTTATCAACAGATGTTGTCTCTCTTGTGTCTAAGCGCCTTGCCCGCCAACATACTTACTAGTTTCTGATAGGTTTAAACTCTGAGTTTGAAACCCTTCGAACTTAGCTTTTAAACACATCACCTATACCCTCTTTCTATGAGGCCTTTGCCACTATTAATAGTGATGAACGTCGTAGGCATCTAGTTTAGTCGAATCCTTCTCCCTTGTCTCTAGTTTCATCTGATCGAATGGCTCTTGCTGTAAAGTCTGGTTCTCGAGGTTCTATTAGTCCAGTTACTTGTCATCATTGTGGCATTTCTAATTATGTTAAGGCTAGTTGCTTCAAACTTCATCTTGAGTTGAGGTTCCTCTCGCTCTCATGGTGTTGGCACCCCTCGCACTACAGCTCTAGTGGATTTCGTTACTCTTACTCTTGAGTCTTCTCATCTCCCTAATTTATAGGAGATATAGACTCAGATTAGTCAGTTTCAGGCTTAGCTTGGATCTCTTACTACTAGTTCTCTTGGCTCATCATTTACCACTATTGCCACTGTTACAATAGGTACTTCTACTGCTTTCCATGTTCAGTATGCTAGTCCGTTATGGGTTCTAGATTGTGGGGCTAATGATCATATGACAAGTGAGTTTTTCTTTCTTTCTTCGCTAATCCTTACTACTATTGCCCAATCTATGTGTCTTGTTGATGGTTCGTTATCCTCTGTTAGTCATAAGGGTGTAGTGTCTTTATTCCCTACCATTACTTTATCATCCATTTTTTATGTTCTAAATTTTGCATATAATCTCTTATCCGTTAGTCGTCTTGCCAAACAATTTAATTATGTTGTCATCTTCTTACTCTCTTCTTGCCTTTTACAAGACCTAAATTCAAAGAGAATTTTTGACAAGGGCTATGAGCGTGATGGGCTATACTACTTTAGGGATCCACCGAACGAGCCTTTTTTTTCTTCCTTAGCTAGTTTTTAGGCCTTTGTTTTGCCTGCTTCCATGTCTTGTGTTTTTAATATTCAGACTTTAGAATTATGGCACGCTCGTATGGATTATGTTAATTTTCAGTATTTATGTAAACTTTTTCTTTCATTTAATAAAGCTTGCAAAGATTCTAAGTTTCATTGTGTGGTTTGTGAGTTGTCTAAGCATACCCATACTAGCTATATCCCTCATATGGCTCATGCTTCTAGTCTTTTGATCTTCTATATTTTGATGTCTGGGGCCCTTCCCCTATCACTGTTTTTTCTGGTCATAGATATTATATGACTTTTATTGATGATCACACTAGGTGCACTTGGTTTTATCTACTTCGTCGTAAATCTGACATCTTTCCCATTTTTGTTCAATTTTTATAGATGGTTAAAACTCAATTTCATATAGTTGTTAGGACTATCTATTCTAATAATGGTTGGGAATATATTTCTAATGCATTTCGTTCCCATCTTAATCAAACCGGTATTCTTCAACAATTTACTTGTCCTCAAACCCCTGAAAAAAATGGTGTTGTTGAACGCAAAAATCGTCATATTGTGTCTGTTGTCTAGCGTTTTCTTTTGAATATGGGTGTTCCCAAGTCTTATTGGCATATGGCTGTCCTTACTGCTGTTTACCTCATTAATAGGACCCCTAGTCGTGTGTTGCATGGACTCACTCCATTTTATAACCTAATGCCCACCACCATTTTGTTTCCACTTTTACCTCGTATCTTTGGGTGTATCTGTTTTGTTCAAATCAAAGTCTCACTCGCACAAAGTTGTATGCCAATTCAATTCGTTGTATCTTCTTAGGGTACTTTTTTATGTCCAAATGGTATAGGTGTTATGACCCTATGTCTTGTCATTTTCACCATACTTTGGATGTTACGTTTTGTGAGGATCTTCATTTTTTTTGGTACTAACCTTTCTTTGTAGGCTTCTCCTCTTATTACTTCCACTGTTCGTTCGGTAACCATTTTAGACAAGGTTGAGAATAAGGTTGTCCTCCTTCCTCCTTCTCAACCTTCACCTCCTCCCTCATTGTAAGTATACTCTTGTCGCCCACGCACACAGCCTCCCATGCCGCCTCTCTTATCTCTGAGTCAGGTAACTCTTCTCCTTTAGCTCCTCCTCCACCTCCTCGTCATAACCCATATCGGGATCGACATCTCCCAAATCGTTTGAGTTATTTGAGTAGTACTAATCATCCTATTTTCCAATATCTTTCCTATGACAGGGTTTCCCCTTCTTACCATTCTTTTCTTGGTAAGCTTGAGTCGAAGTTCATTCCTCATTCTATGTTTGAGGCCTTTCAAAATTCCAAATGGGTAGCGGCCATGCAGACTGGAATGACAGCTTTAGAACAAAATCACACTTGGGATCTTGTACCTCTACCTCCTAGGGAAAACACAATTGGTTGCAAATAGGTGTTCACCATAAAGTACCTCGATGATGGCTCATTGATCGTTACAAACCCTGCTTGGTGGCCAAAGGTTTCATACAAATTCCTAGCAAGGGTTTTGACACCACTTTTGCCCATGTCACCAAGCTTACTTATGTACGTCTCCTTATCTTCCTTACATCATCTCGTTCTTAGCCTCTTCATCAACTTGATGTCAAGAATACATTTTTTCATGGAGATCTTCTTGAGACAATTTACATGGCTTCTCTACTCGATTTTCTGGCTGAGGGGGAGTATTTGAGAAAAGTGTACCAGTTATGCAAATTCTTGTATGATCTGAAACAGTCTCCATGAGCATGGTTTGGTTGCTTCAGTTCTGTTATTATATCTATGAGCTTTGTTCAGTGCTACTTCGATCACACTTGTTTCATTCTCCAGAATTCTGCAAGTCAGTGTATAGTCTTGTTAGTTTATGTGGATGATATTATTCTCACAGGTGATGACTCTATCAGCATTGGTCAAGTAAAGAAAGACTTGGGCCAAACTTTTCATATTAAGGATCTGGGATGTCTTAAATATTTTTGGAGAATTGAGGTGGCTCACTCAAGGGAAGGGATCTCCTTGTCTCAAAGAAAGTACACCCTTGACTTGCTTCAGGATACTGGTATGTTAGGGTGTAAACCTGCTTCTACTCCTATAGATTCTAATGTCAAACTCACATCAAAGTCTGATGAGCTGCTGGATAACCCAGGCATATATCAACGTCTTGTTGGACGCCTCATTTATTTGACCAACACTAGATTTAACTTGACATTTGCAATTAGTGTTGTGAGTCAGTTCATGCATGCACCTCGTAAAGAGCACCTTGACACGATTCATCATATTTTGAGGTATTTGAAGACTTCTCCTGGCTTGGGATTGTTCTTTACCGCTAGTCTACAATCTGGTCTTTCATGTTTCACCGATGCAAACTATGCAAGATCTATGACTGATCGGCTCTCCACTTCTAGTTTCTATACTTTCTATGATGATCATCTTATCTCATGGAAAAGTAAGAAGCAGGTGGTGGTTTCTAAGTCTTCTGCAGAGGCTGAGTATCGAGATATGGCACATGGGACATGTGAGATTCTTTGAATTCGCTCTATTCTAGCAGAGTTGAGTTTTGAGAAGACTGTTCTTTCCTTTTTATTTTGTGATAACAAATCTGCCATTATGTTATCCTCTAATTCTGTGCCTCATGAGCGTACCAAGCATATCGAGGTTGACATACATTTCATTCAAGAAAGGGTTCAGACTGGCATTGTGCGTCCATTTTTTCTTCTCAACAAGTTAGCAGATATGTTCACAAAATCTGTAGGACCGACTTTGCTTTAGTCTTTCATTGACAAACTACGTTTGTTGAATATCTTCACGTCAACTTGATAGGGAGTGTTGAATATAGAAATCAAAATATTATATTTGAATATGGAAATTAGAATAGGAATTATTTTGATTGTAAGAATCTTACATTATGTATATTGTTTCCTAAATTGTATCATGAATATATTATATATACATGACATCTATCTCATTGATTAGTAAGCCAAATAATTCTTTCCATTCTTTTGTGATCCCAAATCACTGAATAACTTTTCCAAATCTGGCCCTTTGTTTTTCATAAAGTACCAATGTCTCGCAATCCCAGCGCTTGGGCTATTTGGTCCAGTTCGAACCCAAATTGGGAGACAAGCCATTCTAGCTCCAAGTGGGAGATCAACTCATTAATTATGAATAATAACTAGTTTATTTATTTATTTATTTATGTAAGATTAATTTAAAAATTTTGGTTGTAGGCCTTGCCAGATGAGTGCCTACCAGTAGATATAACAGAGCCAGGGAAATTGGATGAGATATTTGACAGAATGGATGCCAACAGTGATGGAAAAGTCACCTTCGATGAGTTCAAAGCTGCCATGCAGATCGATAGAACTCTCCAAGATGTTGTCCTCTCCTCTCTTCGCCCCCTTTAGTTTTTCTTTTCTTTTCTTTTCTTTTCTTTTCTTTTCTCATGCATTTTCCTTCTTTCGTACTTATGTCATGTTTACTGACTACTGAGCTATCAATCTATGAAAAGCCCCTTTGAAACTATCTTTGAACATTCAACTCTTATGGGTATATCATATTAGATGGTAAACTAAATATGTCATGATTCAACAAGCGGCACGAAAGTAATATTAGTTTCACCCTTGTAACACCACGATTCTTCCTATAAATATAGAAAACTTGTATTTCTCATTCCCATATCCATCTTTGTTTATGCCGCTGACTCTTGCTAGCTCTCATGTCTTGTGCAATATCCATAAATGATGATTCATTAATGTTCATTGATTTTTTTAGACTCCTTTTCTTTTCCCAATGTCTCATCTCTCCTTAATGTCTAGTATCATTGCTTGCCCACAATGGTAGACCCAAAAATCACGGATAGGAGGGACAAACTCATGTCCACTCGAGCAAGTTAGAGTCCGGATGGCTTAACAACCTGTTCAAACAACTAGTAACTTGTCTGAACTTGACCTCTTAACATAAGATTCTCAACCTAAACCCACCCCAAGTAAAACATAAGTTGCACAGTTATATTTATATCTACATAATATGCATAATTTGTTGCTATGTAAGACATGTTTAATTTCAAATGTATGCAATAGTAATCACAAATAAAATCAGGGTTGTGTTTAAATTAAGGATTTAAAAATAAAAGGATTCGAGTAGTCAAACTTAGATACATGATAGTTTAGATAAACAAATTAAAATTGGGCTTTACTTGGGGTGGAGTCCTACTCAAACAGATTAAAGTTCTCAATCTATACTCTACAGATTAACACCACAAATTTTCTAAATTGCCAAAGAAGTTGAGCAATTCAAAAAATGATAACATTAATTACCAATAAACAATAGGAAAAAAAATTCTATATATGATGGATACACTTATAGTCATCACTGCAATTGTCATTTGTACAATCATTAAAAATATCAACAATTTGCTTTTTAGGACTAGCCACGGTCCTGTCGCTTGGAACTGTTACATCCATCCAGCTATAATCCTCGCCCTCAACGCTTCCGGGGTCTTCCACCCAATCACTCATGTCGGCCTCCATAGCTTCTAAGCAAAAAGGATCATATTCATCCTTTGTACTCCTCCTATTTGCTTCCCGCCTTCTTGCATAGTAAGACAAGCCAAAGTTTAGGTGATACATTTAACTTACTAATAGAATTTTGAATGTTACTTTCTTACTAAATAATGATGACCACTATGTAATGAAAAAAGGGTAATAATATAGGATGTATTGCTGAAATTTATGGTATCAAGTCAAAGTTCAAAACTGAAATAATACATATAACCTTGAATTAAGAAGATGCTTTATAACCCACTAAATATTGCATATTTGCCTATAAAGTGAGAATCCCCAGAAAAATAATGTGTAAGAAGAAATTCACTATTTATTATTACCTAATTTTCAATTTTCACATCTCCATTATTTTCACTTCTACTGCTACTAAAGACATTTCATATATTCAATTTTTTTTAATTTAAATTCTTTTAACTAGAGTGTTTCTCTCCAAATTTATAATTTAGTGTTAATTCTTTAGTTTCATCTACTAGAACCAAGCAAGTAGTAGAATATGTATACAAAATGTAAACAAAAGTTGTTACCTCTCTTTAAGGCATAAGTTATGGTTACCCCAAATTTATAATTTAGTGTTAATTCCTTTCTTAGTTTCATCTACTAGAACTACATCATCTACGAACAAAGAATAGCCCAACCAAGCAAGTAGAAGAATATGTATACAAAATGTAGACAAAAGTTGTTACCTCTCTTTAAGGCATAAGTTATGGTGAACAAATATGAGGTCCTTCAATCTTTGATATTCCAACCGATTCCTCTTCTTTGCATGGATTTGGTCAAACATGCTCCAACTCCTTTCACATCGGGTCGTACTTATACTGCAGGTTTGACTTAAAACCCTCAAAGCTAATCTTTGCAGATCCGGATAATCAGATGCATAGAGAGACCACCATGTAGCTGTAAAACAACACAAGTGATTACTAAATCATGAACAATAATATGTTTCAAAAAAACTATTTTGAATTGAGGGTCACCTGGGGCAAGTGACTCTCGACCACGTAATGCCACAGGACGACCAAAATCACCTACAGCATCCTCATAGAAATTAATGTGGCTTGTAATCGTAACCTGAGCAGTCAAGTTAGGCTCTAACATCTCAATGCAATCAAGTAACCCTTTTTGAATGACTTTGTTAGTTGAGAAACCGGGGTTGTAAAATATGGATGGGTTGAGGTAGTATCCAGCTGCATGAAGGGGGCTATGGAGTTCCTCTTGCCAAATGCGATCAATAACATCTAAGTATGGCAAGTAATCAGATTTGTTGCTATCAAATGCCACAATGATGCTTTTCTTCGCTTTCTCCATTGCATCATAAATATAACCCACTGATGGTCTGTCTTCACAATCAATGAGATGTAAAACAGTAAGTAGGGGTTTTGTGGCATTTAGTGTTCGATCACACTGTGACCAGAAACACGGGTCCACCATAATTTCTGCCACATCAAGCCCTGCCCTTTGCTTAGAGAAAGTTGATTGCATCCAAGTGGCACCAGTAAACATCTGATGGAGAGGCTCTTTCAAAGATACAATGCTTTGCAGCGTCAGGAAATTGGATGCGTGCCTAGTAATTGCAAGTTGGATAATGTCACTTCCTCCAGTCCTCTTCCTCATCAAATTAAGGACCCAAGAATTATTATATATGAACTGTGTTATTTGTTTAGCCTTTGCCAAAACCTCTTTCACTTCAACCATTTTTCCAATTTCCTCGAGCATTAAATCAATACAGTGTGCACCACTGGCACTCCAGAAAAACGTTCTGTACTTATCCATTAAGGCTTTCCCTGCAGCTTTATAACTTGGTTCAGTATCTGTCACAAAGTTGACAATATTATTGGGCCGCACTTCTTGAACAACACTATCAAATAAACTCAGAAGTGCTTCAGAGGATTTACTGATACCAGTAGCATCAGCAGATTTGAGGAAGACTGTGCCCTTCGAACAATAAACAAAGAAGTTTATAACTGTGCGTCCAGTTTTATCTGCCCATCTATCAACCATGATTGAACACCCGGTCACTTCCCAAGATTTTCTCAGTTCACAACATAGTTCCTTTGCCTCTTGAAAACTGTTGTTTAATAATTTACCCCTCAGAGAATGATAAGAAGGCATTTTATAACCAGGACCTGCAGCAGTAATAGCATCAGCCATCAGCTGGAAATAATATGAATTCGAGGCACTGAAAGGTATACCAGCATCATACATAAATTTTGCTACAGCTATATCTGCCTGATTGATGATCTCTTCAGAAGCAGAACTCTGGTTTAGAGGATGAGCAACAGGAATAGCCATTGGATGAAAATCCTTCTTGTGTTTCTTTGTTCGATTGGATGTTCCCTCATCAACCTCTTTCCCCCTTCTTTCCCCAGAAGAACCTCGGCTTCTAGCTGTCTTGGGAGGGTTTCTATGTACATCATTGACTCCTTTGCAGTTGTCTAAGTAGGACAAAGTGGATTTCTTGCCACCTTTTAATCTTTTCTGCCTCTTCAGCTTTTCCAGAACTTTAAAGCCTAAATATTGTTGAAATTGCAACTTGACATCCTCTGGTACTTCCTCACACGGAGCTACATTCCCCCTTTCCCCAGCTAAATGTTGCTTTAGTCTTGAAATTCCACCACCAAGAATAACTTTCTGACAGTATTTGCACTTAATCTTTTGCTGACCCCCATTTACCATAATTCCATGGGCCCAACCAGGGTCGGTGGCTCGAGGAGGTGCTAAACCCTAGTAAAATAAGCACATCCAAAGGTTTAAGAAATTTTACTTATTAAAAAAAGGCAAGAAAACTTGATACTAGAAAGCATGAATCTTGGGGAAAATACATGCAGCAAAATAATGTCTTACAATAACTCTCCAAAACAAATCTGGTATTCGTGTCAAACACTTAACACCTAGATGAAGGTATGGTATATTTGTTTGATACTTCCAATCAAATATGCACTAGCAAGCACATACATCAATTCAATTTCGTTATATTATTGTATTACCACTGTCATTATATGTATATTTTTGTCGCTTTCTATAAAAACAAGTGTCTTTTTTTACTCTACATGTTGCATAAAACACCATTTTATCCCAAACAAATAGATTAAAATACGAAAAAAAATCCTTTTTTGCCAAGTCATCATATCCTTCACTTAGAGGTTTGATGGGTCCAACCACCAGATACAATCCCACCCCCGACACCTATACCCAAGTCTATGTAACATAGGTAATGGCAACTACTTGGAGTTAGGGCTGAAGAGGGTTAGGATAACATGAAAGGCAATAGTAAGAGAACAAATATGAACATTTCTATAGCATACTTTATTATCCTTGTACTGGGTAGCTGAAAAATCATCAAAGAACTCTTGAGTCTCCACCATTAGCAGTTGATTCTCTGCAGAAGAACCATAAGACAGCAAAAATGTGTTAATAAATAAAATAACATAACAAGAGGCCGAGCAATGCCATCGCATTGCCTCACCTCTTTAATCTTACTACTTATGGTAACAAGACAAAGTTAGCCTTGTTGTCTAATACACTCTCTAAGAGAACTCAAGAACTAAATCCACCTATTCGATAATTATGTCTACATCTGGCATAAAAATAAATAAATAATGTCTACATCTAAAGGAAAAACATGCAAATATTTGAATCCATTATGAAATTACTTGCAGACAAGAACATCCACCACACACAGGTTGGTTGATACTTTGTTGTAGAACAAATAATATAAGTCCACAGAGGTCACCCGACAAGGGTTGCATTGCACGACAGGAACAACATAGCCATCCAGGTAAGGCCACTGTAAGTCTAATAAGCAATTAACCACATGAAGGCCCGTAAAAGGACTTCCAGTGACCTATGGGCCATTGACTGCATGACAACTTATGACCAATCCAGAAATGGAACCCGAGAACCTAAGCAAAGTAGAGAAAGTAAACCATCTTGCCACACGAAAAGCAAAGAACAAAAGATTTGACCACACAAAACCTACAGAAGTTACATAAAAGACACAAACATACCACACAATCAACTAAAAACAAGATTCTGAGACTATAAAAATCATAAATCTTCACAAACAAAGTAAATCAATTTATAGGGTCAGTAACCATCAAGTTTCTGGATAATGCTGCAAAGCAAATTAGTTTAATTTCGCAATGCTGTGACCGTGATCTTCATGACTTCGGGAGTCCAAACTAAGAATAAAATTGGAAGAGGAGCATAATACAATTCAACCCCATCAAGAACAAGCAAATTAGCTTATTCTATGAAGAAAATCTTGATTACAAATATGATTACGAAGCCTCCACCATTCTTATCACACAACAACCAACATTACAAGGCAGCAAACAAGAACAACACAAAGAAACCCAGTGACTATTTAAGCAAATCCAGGAGCATTTCATTTACACTAGGCAAAAAACCAATCCAATCTATTATTAGTGGACAAATTAATGCTGTGTTTGGTTGGGAGATTCGGGGAGAGATTTGAAAAAGGAAAGGAAAAAAGTGTGTGAAACTAGGTGAAATATAAATATGTTTTATTCACATTTCACCTAACTTTTTCTTTTCTCTTTCCAAATCCCTCCTCAAATATTCTAATCAAACACAGCGTAACTGTCATAGAGAGTTCAAAAGATGACCAAGACGAATTGTAAAATAAGAGACCCAAATATTCTACTAAATTTTTTATCCACACCCATATTGTTTGGTAAACAATTTTGTAGAACTTTACATTTTTCTTGTAAAATTAGTAAGCAAATCGATTTGAAAGTAAAACCCACTTCGCCGATTGACAGAAACAGACATAAAAATGAATAAAAATCTCACCTTTGATTAAGATTCCGAAATTGTCACGGTTTTAACTGAAATTACACTGAAAGAAAATTGAGTAGAGATATTTCGGATTCATAGAAATGAGTTTCGGTTTTCGAACCAACGAACGATTGAGAGCAGTGATGATGATGATGATGATGATGATGATGATGGGATTGGGTTGTTTCGGGAGTGAATCGGCGGCGAGATGCTGATTTATCGGATCCCGGAAAATTATCTGAACCCTAGACAATGCGAAACCGATATATTTCGAAACATTTTATCGTTTTCTTCGATTATTACATTTTTAATTTGTCAATTTGTTTTTGTCGTTTCGCTTTTGTAAACTCGGCAAAATATCGCTCGTTTATTTCGTCCCATCATTTTTGTTTTAGAGAATCTCCGACCGCTAATCAAATTTTTTATTAACTTTGAGTTAAAAAAAGTCAATTTTTTCAATTTTATACTACTGGCTCCAACGGTGAGCATCAAAAGGGGGAGGGGCGACCGATTGGTCGACTGGTAAGTTTTTTTTTTTTTTTTTTTTTTTTTTTTTTTTTTTTACCTATTTGAACCTTTTTTTGACCAGTTTGAATTCACTATTTGAAAGGAAACCGGTCGACCGGCCGGTCAATCGGCTGATTGACCGGTTGGACTCCTCCAACGGTCACGCACAGTAATTTGGTGAAACCTGTATTCTGTTATCAGTTTGATAATTTTTTTGTTCAATTCTCATTTTGATACTAATTTGGTGAAACTGTTAGAGTTTCAAAAAGTATATTTTTTATCAAATTTCAAATCTGATGCCAAATTTACTAAACCGTTGGAGATGGTCTTATGTGATAACATTTTGTCCATTTATCCTTTTGTCTTGTCATATGAATAAAATAAAAATCTACACAATCTCACTGTGGGGAAATTCTACTTACAGGTTTACCTTTTTATATTTATGAATTAATTACTTAAAAATTTTATTTATAAATATTATCGTAGTTCATAATAATTCAGATTCTATTTAAAAAATTTAAAATCAATAAATCTTATTTAATAAAATTGAAATATTATCAATTTTTTTTAATTTTTAAAATTAAAAATATTATCAATTTTACATAGTAATATTTCAGATAATTGTTTTACTAACTGATAAAAAAATAAAGTATGGGATTAAACATTTTTGCCCTTCTTTGATTCAACTATCTAATAAAATCGAGAACATTTTCAGTTTTTTTTTCAATTTTAAAATTGAGAATATTATCAATTTTTTCATTTTTAAAGTTTTTTTTTTTTGTTTTGCACATCAATGTTCCATCATCATGCTCCTTTATAGATACAAAATTTTCAGTTTTACACAAAAAAATAATTCAATTTTTTCAATTTTAAACAAAAAAAAACATTCACTTTGTTTAGTTTCAGTTTTTAAAATTCACTTTTCAAAAAATTCTACTTTTTTATTTTTCATATTTTTTTTTATTTTCACTAAATTTGTTTAATATTTTAAGTAAATTTTTAAAATTTTAGACACACTATAAATAAGCTTAAAAATATAATATTTGTAAAAAAAATCTTTAAAAAATCTACTAAATACTAGAAATACAAACATTTTTTTTGTATTTTTATATATTTATTTATTTATTAAAATATTTTTTCACAAATATTTTACTATTTAAATATATCTAAGTAAGGTGCATCTAACAAAGTTAAAAAATACTTAAAATTTTAAAAATATTCACTAAATTTTTTTTAAAAAACGAAAAAATAAAAAAAAAACTCGATTTCCAGAAAACTAAAACCAAATACACTGATTAGTTTTTTTTTTTTTGCACATAATTTTTTTTTTAATTTTTTCAATTTGAAAGTTAATGTTTTAAAGTTTTGAAAATCAAAACAAATGTCAAATCATCATGTTTCTTTATAGATAATAATAAATGATGAACAATCATTATTTGAAATGTTATTTCGGTTGTTAAAAATTTAATGAGACTTGAAAGTCTAAAAAATCTAAGTTAGGACTTAATGGAGTATAAGTTCATAAATTAATATTTATGTGTAAATGCCCCTATATTTATTTTCTTATTATACCATTAAGAAAAAATTTAAATTCTCATTGCACCTTTCATAATATCAAAATTAAACTTTTTTCAAAATCCTTACAAATTTTTCTCATTACACCTATTACTCCGATGTCATGTTACCGAACTAATTATATTTGTCCAGATATCTATTGCCGCATGTTTACAAATTCACTTTTCCTTAAAATATCATTTTTTTCCCCTAAATTTATAATAGGTCTGCTCGGTTATATATTGCCAAAATTGAGATTATTTCAGTATCATATTGTCGAACAAACTAGATTTGTCTAGTTATCAGTTATCGCACGTTTACAAATTCACTTCCCTTAAAGTATCAAGCATCCGTAAAAATATGAAGTGTACAAATATTCATAAAAACATTCATAAAATCTGTCAATACAAATATCTTCAAATCTATCAATACAAACATCTATAAAAACACATTGAGATGTTATTATAATCCATCTATGTCGATAATTTCGTTAGTTACTACATCAGGACTGACAAGCGTACAAAATTTATCAATATGAGTAGTATATATGTTCTGCCACCCATTAACACACGGGTAATAAAAGCGGATACAATTACTTGTTATCGAATGTACTAGATGACCAGCAAACAGATAAATCTAACGAACTTCGTCTATAATGAACTCGTAGTCCGTTAACAATGCACTACTAGCCTTACTACAATGAGTAGAAGCATAATTCTTCAAAGTAAAAAAAACCAAAAATGTCATAAAATGAAACTAAAAATGCTTGGCAATAAATTACCGAACATGTACTTTTTGTTTAGCAGTAAGTTATTGAACAAATATTTTTTGTGCATTAGTGGGTTACCAGATATGTATTTTTTGTTCGCAGAGTGATTCCGAGCTATTTGATTTTGTTCAATTTTGATACACCGAACAAAAGTCGAACAACCATTTTAAAAAACGATTATTACTTCTTCTTTTTTATGATCAAAATACTATAATTTTCACTTTTTAAAAGTAAATATATAGTAGCGAAAAAGAAATGAGAAAAGAAGAAAAGAAGTATGGATTGAAATGTAATGAGTGTAAAGAAGTAATTAAATCTATTTAATTTTTATCTTTTATCCTAGAAGATAATTTTACGTATAGATAAAATTGGGGGAGAAAAATTGAGGGGTAAAGAAGTGAATGTAATTGTGTAAATAAGATTTCCCTGCAATGAATGTGCTCCAATTTTCTTGTTGGATCAATTAGACTTTTACCTATGGCCATTTTTCACTTTAGTCTCTAAATTATTTTTTGTTTTCCACTTTGATCCAATTATACTAAATTATTTTTTGTTTTCCACTTTGATCCAATTATTAACTCTCATGACGATCTATAGGTAATTTAAAATTTTTAAAAAATAAGTTTTTCACTTTAATTGTTAAAAAAAATAATTTTTTTTTTCACTTCAGTTCCTAAAATAATTAAATTTTCACAGTTTGATCCATAAATACAAACTCAACCTAATCTAAAAACCAAAATGAATGTTCTTTCAAAAATATTTATCCAAAATCTTTATAAAAAAATGGATACCTACCTCCTTCGAAAAATATTTATCAAAAATCTTTAAGAACATACACAACCCCTGTCACAACCCTAGTAAAATCTTCTAAACTTAATCATGCTAGAGTTACATATTTAGTGCATTTACGATTTACAACTTTATTAAATACAAATAGCATAATATAAAAAAAATAATGTTCATTAATTGAAACTGAGAAAACAATGGTTGTGCCTTGCTTTTTTTCCGATTATACGACTTATTAAATAAAAATAACTTAAATAAATTAAAAATTACTCATTAAGGAGAAGAATACTTTTGACTTATACTTTTTAATTATCAGTTTTTAATTTACAATAAATTTCTAAAATAAATAAATAATAATAATAATAATAATAATAATAATAATAATAAATATATAAAAACATAAGCAACTCATACAAAAAGGATACCAAACTATACTCCCAAAAAAAAAAAACTGTACCAAACAGCCCATCTTTTGCACTTAACCCGAACCTGTGATTTAGGTTGGGTTTGGGTTGGATTTGAAGTGATGTGTTAGAGAGGTGATGTGACTTAAATAAGATGATGTGACTTAAATAGGATAGTGACTTTTTGATATTTTGTCTTTTTTGTCTCATGCCAAACTTGTTGTTATTATAGGCATCTGGGTTTATTCCACAGAAGTAAATCTACAAAAATTCCACGTCATAAATAAATAAAAAGTCGTGTACTACTTAGAAGAATAAAAAGCTCCCTCTCTTATCTCTCAACAATATCAACCATACACTCACACACGGAAGGATGAAAAGAAAGCAATAGTTAAAATAGCAGAGTGCCAAGCAATCTGTAACCCTTATATAAATTATAGAAGATCCCAGTGTAGTCACTAACGTGAAGTACAGATTTCTGCCATGTTCCGTAGATCTAAACCTAGCTATTTGCCTAAGATGAAATACACATATCTTCAATGCTCCTTGAATAAATTTCTAGGGTTTTCACATTTACACAATTTTCCAGCACACGCTTAACTGGAAACGAAGGGTCTCCTATCTAAACAAGTTAGTAATTACAATACCTAAACACGACTAACCCAAATTGTGATGATAGTAAAACATCAACACGGTACACAAATTATCACAAACCAAACGATCAAGCCTTCAATGCCTCGATAGCTACTGCTTCTGTGTCTGCCACAAATAAATATTTGCCCAATGAGATAGATTAGCACTTTGCTTAATAGATTTTGCCTGACAAAATATAGATACTGTATCAGTGATCTCACAAAGACATCCCTTCGGGATATTCACGTATGAGACTATGAAATTCGTTAATTGATGCAGCTATAATATTGTATCAGTGGTCTCACAAAGACATATCCCTTTGTGAAATTATAGAATTAAACAAACCAGTACTCATGTATGAGGTGATGAAATTCATAAATTGATGCAGCTATAAAACTACAAACATAACAACAATGGTCGGGTATAATTTAAACAACACCAGCACCTCAGACATGGCCAGGCTCGATGACACAAACAATTCTAGTGACTAATGGAAACATACCACATCGTAAATAGTCAACGAGGCATAGTGGTTCAAATTGTATCTTCAATCCACTCCTTCAACAAACCTTTGTCTGAATCTAAACAATATTCGGGAATATACCAGGTCGATTTGTATAAGATATAGACAGGTACAAATCTCAACTCTGAAAATTGTGCAACAGCTTACGTTGCAGAAAATTGAGTTTTGAGTCCACCAGCTAGCATATTATTTAGACATTAAAGAACACAAAATTCAGAGTTCTGGGATGTACAGTGTAACAATATGCTTGACAGGCTTAAGCATCAATTCAGAGCCAAAATACCACATTCATCCACAAGATTGCAATGCAGTGTGTTGTGTTCTATTCATAATACAAGAATGATGAGATCAATGAGATGGGACGAATCAAAATATTGTAAAATAAGCACTAGATATGTTTACACTTTTACAGTGAGACAGTATTGTAGCCCATTGCCCAAGATATGATGGTGCATGTTAAAAATGATGTATTATTGATTGTTGTATGTTATATTACAATGATTCCTATATATAGAAGAGAGGATGTGGGAAGAGAATAGGTGAGTGTGTAGTAGGTATGGAGTAGGTGGAGAGTAGGTGAAGTAGGTGAGTGTGTAGTAGGTGGTAGTGGTAGGTGTGTAGTAGGTGAATTTTAACAGCCCCGCAAACTCAAGGGGATAGGAACTAACCAACTTGAGTTTGGAGAGAGTAACAAAACAAGAAAATACATAAAAATAAAAGAGGATAGGAGACACTGTATGGTCGTGTCAGACCATTGTTGAAGACACTGGATGGCGGTGTCAGACCGATGTAAAAGACAGTTTATGGGGTCATGTCGGACCGTTGTAGCAGACAATGTTGTGACAGTTGTTGTGACAGTTTACAGAGTCTTGCTGGACCCTTGTAGAAACTAACCGGAATCAATGTCGGGACAGTTTACAGAGTCTTGTCGGACCCATGAAGGAGCTAACCGGAATCAATGTCGGGACAGTTTACAGAGTCTTGTCGGACCCTTGTAGAAACTAACCGGAATCAATGTCGGGACAGTTTACAGAGTCTTGTCGGACCCATAAAAAGTCGCACCCTCAAAAGGTGTGCCCAATCTTTCAAAAGGCGTGCCATCAAAAGGCGTGCCCAAGTCATAAAAAGATGTGTCGGACATGATGGCGAGGCGCGTCACCACATTGGTTGCGTGCCCGTTTTGTCGTCTGGCGTCAAGTGGCGCGCGATGCGCGTGTCTGCCTTGGCTATTTAACCAAGACGGAGGCTGAAGCTGAGGCTGAGGCTAAGACAAAAAACTGGCTAAAAACCTCTGAGAAACTCTTCGTTGTCTTGAGAGAGATACTCTGTAAACACTCTGTAACAACCTTTCTCTGAAACACTCAGCAACCCATAACATGGCCTCGTCTTCCCGTTCAGCTACCCAGAATATGGCCTCTTCGTCCCGTGGTCTGCTCACTCTCTTTCCCGACCTCAACGAGTCAACAAGAGAGATAACTGGTGCGGTGGCCAGTGAACCTCAACCAAGCGCCTCTAGTTTTGCTCCGTTGAACTTTCCGATGCGGTCGGTGGAGCAAAAAATGGCGGTGCAAACTGATATTGAGGCCAATCAGTATACTTTGAAGTCATGTGTGGAGACCATGACGGCGGTCACAATCCTGTCGCACCAGCTGCAGAGTAGGACAAATGAGGTGCAGCAGTTAAACGCCCAACTGGCTCTGCTCCAACGCATGTATAAGAATGCGCGAGCAGAGATAAGTGTGCTGAAAGCGGAAAACAAGGAGTTGAAGCGGAAGGCCACCGTGATGTTCCGATTTGGAGGTCCGCCATATGCTGCAGTGGAGGAGCAGGGAGGAGGCAACTTGCTTGGTGGTCTAGGAAGCACGGAGGCAACACCGTCAAGGGCCGCGCAGGACGGAGGCAAGAAGAAGAGACCGGCGGCAGAGTAGATAAGAAAAAATCCCGCAGGTGGATGTGGTTGTTTTGTTTGTTTGTTTTTTTTTTTTTTTTTTTTTTTTGTGTAAAATTATGATCGGGGTTGATCCCTGACATGAATAAAAGATGGTTTGGTGTGCAAAGCTATATGGTATGAATGGAATTTGCAAAAGAGTAAAAATAATGTGAAAGAAAATAAAAAAAAGAAATAATAAGAATAAATTTGAAATCAAAATGAAAGATGGGAGAAGAAAGGAAAGTGGTTCACGTGATATCTTGGTCCACTGTTTTGTGAAAATCGGTAATGGGGTTCGGTATATATATATATATATTTTTTTTTTAATTATTTATTTATTTTTATTTTTTTTTGGGTTAATAATAATAATAATACAATAAGATATGAAAGAGGAAAGCATGTGCGCTGTGGTTTGGAAAGTGAAAAAAATGAGAGAAAGAGAGAGTGGGGTACATGATGATTATGTTGGATGTAACTTTAAGATATTGAACAGTGAGAAGGACGAAGATGCTCTGGGCCAATTCTGTGATCAACGATTCAGCCACCAAGATCAGGGTTCATGTTTCGAAGCAAATACTCTCTGATTCTAGAGAGAGAGAGTATGGATCGTCGTCGTTGAGCACACACTGGTTCGACGACAGGCAGGGTGTTTACGGTGGCAGATGCGGTTCCATTCTTGTGTTGGCTGTCCACTCTTTTTTTTTTTTTTTTTTATAATTTCTCTCTCCTTCTTCGAATCTTCCCCACAAGGAGAGAGAGAAAGAGGAGAGAGAGAGAGAGAGAGAGAGAGAGAGAGAGATCTGATATTTCGACAATGGAGAAGCTCAGAACTGGGTCTCTGATGATGGGTTTCTCAGATTCCTCTACAGATCCGACACGAAATCAAAAGATGATGCGAATGACGACGGGAAGTTCACCGGCCAACGGCGGCGGAGAAGGAGAGTAGGAGCTTAGGCCCGGCGGAATGCTGGTTCAGAAGCGAACTGACTCCGATCAACACCGCATCCCACCGCCCACCATCCGAGTCCGAGTCAATTCCGGTCCATTTACCACGAAATCAATATAAGCTCTCAAGCCACTTTCGGGGAATTGAAGAAGATGATGACAAAGCCGACAGGGCTGCACCACGAGGATCAGAAGCTTGAGATACGAAAGATGCCACGATGGAGAAGGCTTCCAAATCGATCTCCGATATCAACTTGGAGGTTGATAGGCTTGCAGGCCAGGTGTCTGCGCTTGAATCGGTAGTCACTAAAGGTGGAAGGTTGCAGAGAAGGATTTGTTGAATCCGACTGAACAGTTGATGAATCAACTGCTTAAACTGGATGCGATAATAGGCGATGGGGATGTCAAATTGCAGAGGAAAATGCAGGTGAGAAGAGTGCAGAAATTAGTTGAGACTCTGGAGGAGGGGCAGTGGTGGTGGACTTGAAGAAATTTCAAGGTATGTGTAGAAAATTCTAGCAGATTAGGTTGAGGTCCGGCGGACGGCCAAGGCGAGGTTGCCGCCCGCCGGTGAAGCGAAAAATACTAAGTGCTTAACCTTGCTCTGATACCATGTTAAAAATGATGTATTATTGATTGTTGTATGTTATATTACAATGATTCCTATATATAGAAGAGAGGATGTGGGAAGAGAATAGGTGAGTGTGTAGTAGGTGGAGAGTAGGTGAAGTAGGTGAGTGTGTAGTAGGTGTGTAGTAGGTGAATTTTAACAGTGCACACACTGACTAGTTAGTTCCTTATTCATTTTGAGCCCATGTATTTCAAATATCATTTTCACAGACAAAAGTGGGACCTCCTTAATGATTTTAACAGTTACACGCATAAGGTCAATCTTTTCTTCTTTCAATAGAACTATTTTCTCACCAAGTAAAAAAAACCAAATTAAAGAAGAAAAAAATAAGAGAAAAAGATCAGAAGGCAAAAAATATCATTTTGATGCTTTAATTTGGTGAGATTTATTAAAAAAAATTGAAATTTATTTTCTCACCAAATTAAAACATTTATATGCAAGAAAATAATAAAAACATTTGAACCAAAAAGTTCTGTAAGGGTATAAACATCATTTGGTAGTTTAATTTTGTTAAATAATAATTTTAGGTCAAAAAATTTAAATTCCTGGTCATATCTTTATATTAAACCAGAAAAACTAGCAGTTTTACTTCGATTAAAATGACAGGAAATACAAGTGTTGCATGTTGAAAAACGGGATTGTCAAATTAAAAGGTTGGGGGCATTGTCAAACTAGTAGTTTTACTGTGAACTCATTTCAATGACTCGCTTCTTCTATCAAGGGAGGAATAAATATGAAGAATATAGACTTATCTAGTAAAAATACAGAAACTATATTACAATCTTTACAAGGGTGGAAATGTCATCCAAATAAGATTTTAGAATCAATTAAAGGACAGGAAGACCAAGCATGTTCATCTCTCTGTGTCAGAGAGGCACATGCGCACCCTCCCCCAGGCCAGTGTGGGAGGGTACTAAAGTTAATGGTAATGATAATTTGATGCCTGCAATGCTCTATCTCTTCCAAAAGCTTGGTACCTAAAACTAAAGGCATAAACCTAGTCTCTGGAGGCAGTGAGTGCAGTTCAGAAAGCATGCACAAGAGTACCCTAGAAGTACTGGTTATTACTTTAATTCAGAAGCCCGCCCCTAACCATCCCCTTTGCTGTAGCTTGATAGTGACTTTAATTTCCAAAGACACAAAACTCCTGGACTTTTGGAAGTGAGGGACTACAAACTTGAGTGAAATATCAAATTTTGAGCACTAGCACCATGCCACCATCCATTTAATTTTTTCCCAGCAACAATGCTATCCTATCCCACCATCACCCAAAATCCACCAAAAGTTTCTTACAAGCAAAATTTCGTTGGGAAACACTACAACCTAGTACCATCAGAATAAAAAACTAAAAAAATCAGCAGTTTTTAATGATTCAGTTTAGCTATTGTAAGTAGAACCTATATTCATCTTTCTTTTTCCTTTTTGGAGATAGGATTTAACAAACTAAGTTTCCTAGAAAAACCCACTAGACGAGGAGTCGAACAGAACAATCAACATTAACAAATCTGAAACTAGCAACAAAAATACTTCACATCAATTCAAATATGTCATGGTTAAATGGCAGTATTACACACTGTGGTACTCTCACTTTGAAATATTTACATATCAAAGCAAAAAGAATGTAACAGTATCAATCACAGAAGCACACAACAAATTTCTGGGCCAGGTTGCTTATTCAATAAATAATAACAAGTACTAACACAGAAAAATAAAGAATAGTGCATACACATGTTACAACTATCATGCCATCATAAATCATTATATCAAGTTCTACTTCAATTTTATTTGAATAAGCTTGCGTAAGAACAGACAAGGACAAAGGCTTCAACCGCAAAGGCAATATTGGGACGAGCATTGGTTCATTTGAAGATGCTAGTTTGCGATGTTCATAAGGATGCATGTTTTTTTGTTGTCTACTAATTCAATTTCTACCACTATTAATTGAGACACAGTAAAGCATACAGAAATTGTTTTCAAATCTAATATGCATATAAATTTTTCGTCTGTTTTTTCTCAGCAACTAGACACAGTTTTAATCAATACTGAAAATTAACCACCTGCTTCACAAAGCACTTTGCAAAGTGCCAAAAGGAACTGGCAATATGGAATCATAGTTTTTGGAAGCACTTTCCCACATTTGACTACACTGGCCCATAAATGATATCTAAGCCTCAAATAGGGAAGTTAATAACTTTTCCTGGACAGCAAATGAAATCGCTCCCTCAAATGCAGGGAGAAGTGATGTCTTGGTACATTAATCATACTTCAAACAATCACAATGATATCTAGAAGAGAATGCTTACAGATTCTCAAAGTTGCTCACGAATGTAGGCCATTGATCTTAACATAGAGCCTAGTGTCTCTCTTGAAACTTGAAATTTCACCTCGTTTCTCCAGTAGTCGTTTTTGTATCTTGGAGCTGATAAACACAAGGAAAAACACAGCAGTTAGGTGAAGAAAAATGAGTAATTTACCCCTTGGTCATATGTTGTCAATATCATTCCAATAGATTGAGTTCAGTTAGCTAAGTTGAGTTACATGGGAAAATTTCATATTTGAAGATAGAAGTTGGAAGAGAATAATTCTGCAGCAGTAGCAGCAACTTGTCCAAACGCCACTGCACCTAATACACAAAAAAAAATTGCCTGTGGTTCAACAATACGTTGCTAAAAATGTGGGGAACCTGGTCATCGATCATCGGACTGCAAAAAAAAATAACAGTAGAGAAGGCAAGCATCACCATAATGGCACAAATTACAGACAGCATGAAGGGTGTCTTTCCGTGGACCAACGATGCAGAGGAGAGCTTCACATTACTAAAGAGCAAGTAGACTGAGGCACCTATTTTGGCTTTAAACAATTTTTAAAAACTAAACCAAACAGACTAAATACAATTAAAACTATATTAACCAATTTGACAGAGGCACCAATCACTTGTTTTTCTCTCTCCTTTTTTTAAGGTAGGGGAAGAAGCCCTAAGAGTCCATCACCAACAAGAAAGTGCTCAAGCACACATCCCTTGTAGCACGATAAAGACAGATGAACGGATAATTATCATCATTCCTCATCTTCAGCATCTACAATCTCTTAGAATCAATCGATATCAATCCTAGTAACTGGTTCATAGTCCGAACTGGTGCAAAGGCGTTGAGCCACCACCACACAATCTGAGTGGCACTTCTTTTCTGCATAATAAAAACAAATGAAGAAAGCAACGTCTTCACTTGTTGTACGCTCACTATTGATGCTGTACTGCAGCCATTGTGTCTATATTTGATTGTTGCATAAAGTCCATACCATACGAAGTTACAACAATAAAACAAAAACTCAGCAACTTAGTTGATCTCAAATTCTAATATTTGAACAAATCAAAACAAAGGGTCATATAGATACAGCATGAGAAGGAGAAAAAAAATGAACGTGTTAATAAATAAAAATACAGGTAGCAGAAATGGACTACAAAATCACAAAATGCATACCTTCAGATTGATAACAGCAACTCTACTAGCTGGTGCTGAGAGCTGCTGACTTATGTAAGTCATGGATTTCAACATAGGCTCCAGTGTAACCCTGTCAGTCTAAACTGCACTTCTGTTTCTCCTGAAGGAGTCTTTCCATAATCTTGCAGCTGCAGTTCAGGAAAAAAGAAGTGAAACTAATACGAAAACGGCTCCTATTCAACTACAATAAGAAATAAAGGGCACCATCTTAGAGTACCATGTATATACTTCTTATTGTGCATAAGGATAACAACACTTGACGAGTAAGATGGCAATATACCAACCCCAATTTCTTTAAAAGGTTTTATACAATGCATGATATGGTACAAACATATTCTGATGAAATAAGCTCTTTAGGACTGGAGATGCACCAGTTTCCACTTTTTCTTCTATTAAAATAGCATCAGATTAAAGCAAATAGAGATGCATCTTAAAACATAAGAGTAATGTGACAGTAGGATCATTAAGTTATCCAAGTTCTCCACAAATACAAATAAAAGTTTTAAGACAAACATTTATACTTCAGGTTATAAACAGCTACTTTACTGGCTGGTGTTGAATTCTTATTTTCAATGACCCAAGTCATGGATTTAAAACAAGTGAACACCACCTATACATAACACAAAAGAAAATTAGAAGAAGCAATCACCAACATTCTTGATTTTATTCGCACTTGCAAAACAACAAATCTGTATATTCGATGTGTAATTAAACATGTCGCCAAAAAGATCACACTCCATACCATGTTATCAGGAGGACCACCATCAGGGGTGATAGAAATGGGAGCCATGCTGGGCTGATTCAAATCAGCAGCAGGAACTCCAGCATCATTAAGATTAAAGCGATGTGGCATCGCATCTTGCCAGGGCCACAGTGGTGGGAATCATATCGGAAGGTGATGTAGGGTTCTTCTTGTTACTGTCTTCCTGAGTACTTCCACTGCCCTGAGAGGGAGGTGTAACTTTAGCCACATTTTTCTTCACCGCAGCAATCTTCCTCGCACCTCTTTTCAGAACACTCATTGCTGTGTTATAGGTCTCTGCAGCAATCGCCCCTTCCTCAGCATACTTAATGGCTTCCGACATAGATTGTTGAAGCGTGAGGTCAGAGACTCAATGCCTTGGGTATGTGCATCATGTTCCTCCGATCCAGAGCCACTCTGGCATTCCTCATCCATCTCTTCAATATGTAATGGGATGGAAGGGTGAGAACATTTGTTACTGTAAAGACAGTCAATATGTGTCTACATATAATGCAAGTATTCGAAACTCTGACAGCTGCAACTAGCTTTCATCTCAGAAATATTCAATGTGACTATGTATGCCTTGTCATCATGCTCATATTTTGCAACCCTGAATTTGCTGACCACATCGTCACCCTCAATCTTATTAGCAGTATACACAAAAGTTTCAACCAATTCCTCCTGAAACTTGGCAAAAACTTTCTTGGTATAGAGGTTTGCTGCCTGTTGTTCCATTGGTGATGGTGTCTTTAGCACTGGCGTGGTGCAAATTGTGTCATAATCTGCTTCTATCTCCTTTTCTAATGAATTTTCTAAAGCTCTTTCGTACTGCTTAAAAAAATTGGTAGGTGGTCTGCTGATTCACAAACCCATCAAAAAAGGAGTTAACTCCTTGGTTTGATGAAAGTGCAGCAAAGAAAGTGCCCCGAAAATAAACAGGAGCCCACTGCTGCCGAGCATTATAGACAGCTTGAAGCCACTCATTGTTCCGAAGATCATATCGATCAAGGAGAGATCCCCATGATGATTCAAAATCCTCAGTTGTCTCGGAAAAGTTTATGCAGCTATACAGCTCCCCATAGAAAGAAGGGTGGACAAGATATACATGAGCCACCTTTCTTGGCCTTCTCTCAAGATGTGCCACTTGCAAATGCAGTGGCGTGTTTCTGGAAACACCGCGAGCAACTGAAGCCTGAATGGCTCTATCTTGATCAGTGGTTATAGAAACGGGGGACGATCATTCATTGCAGCCAGCCATGTCCTAAATAGCCAAGTGAAGGAAGACTCTGACTCATCTAAAAGTAATGCACAGCCAAACAAAACCATCTGACCATGATTATTTACACCATTGAAAGGAGCAAAGGGAACCAGAAACTGATTTGGTCTATACATTGTGTCAAAAATAACAGCATCACCAAAGTGATTATAAAGCCGTCCTTGATCTTGCATCAGCCCAAAAAACATTAGTCATGCGATTGTCATCATCAAGTTGATTGCATAATAGAAACCAGGATTTTCAGCCTGCATCTTCTTGAAATAGTTGAGGAGATTCTGGGCGACTTTCCCAAGGGTTCTCTTTCTGATACAGGGTTGAACATAATTTTACCAGGGCCAAAACTCCTAGCTGGGCAATTTGTGTCTACAGGGGAGGCACCCCTTAGTCCACGGTTAGGATATAAGACACATGATTTCCATCCATGGAGACAAAAACATCACTTGGGGCATCAAATGTTTCAACCACATTCTTTGTAGCCCCACAAATGCCTCCGAGGTCGAAGGTAATGAACCTTGCT